TAGATTTCTTTTGGTAAAGTTACCATTTTTACTATGTTAATCCTACCAATCCATGAGCATGGGAGATTTTTCCATTTTCTGATATCTTCTCCAATTTCTTTCTTCAAAGACAAAGTTCTTGTCATACAGGTCTTTCACTTGTTTGGTTAGAGACTGGGCTGTGTGGGTTGGAGGCAGGACGGAGAGCCCATTTGGGGGTTAGGGAGAATCCTGTAGCCAGGGAAACTCCCAGGAATCCCAGGACAACCCGAGCTAAGACTCCAAGCAGTAGGAGAGAGGGTGCCTGAACTGTCTTTCTCCTGTAATCAGATTGGTGATGACCCTAATTGTCATCAGAGAGCTTTCATCCAGTAACTGATGGAAGCAGATGCAGAGATCCACAGCCAAGCACAAGCCCAAGCTCCAGGAATCCTGTTGAAGAGAGAGAAGAATGGTACGAGACAGAGGGGTAAAAGTCATGATGAGTGTGGGGGGATCCACAGAGACAGCTGACCTGAGCTCATGGACTCTGGACCAACAGCTAGGCATCCTGAATGGGACCAACTTAGGCCCTCTGCATGTGTGTGACAGTTACATAGCTTGGTCTGTTTGTGGGGCTCCTATCTGTGGAATCAGGACCTGTCCCTGGAGCTTGAGCTGGCTTTTGGGAACCTGTTCCCATGCTGGGTTGCCTTGCCCAGCCTTGATGCAGGGGAGGAGCCTGGTCCCACCTCAGCTGGATGTGCCAGGCTTTGTTGACTCCCCAGGGAGGCCTGCCATTTCTGAACTGAGACAGAGGAGTAGATGGTGAGGTGCTGCAGTAGGAGGGAGGCGGCAGAAGGGACAGGAGGAGAGAAGGGAGAGGAAACTCTGGTCTGTATGTAAAATAAATGAAAATTAAAAAAAAAATACAAGCAGAGACACAGCCAGATGGCTTAGCAGGTAAAGGCACTTACTGATAAGCCGGTTACCTGAGTTCAAATCCCAGGACCCACATTGTGGAAGGAGTTGTTCCCTGACCTCCATGTGAACATCATATTGGTGTATGATGGTGGGAGTGTGCACACACACATACATACATACACACACGCACACACCACATGTGTGCACACATGTGCAAGTAAATAAAATAAACAAATAAAAAAAACTTTTAAAGAGAATTAAAATATAAGCAGAGGGTTAGGGAGAGGCCTTAGTACATCAAAGCACAAGCATTATAAGCCTAACCTCAAGCTTGACCCCTGAAACACACACACAAACCTCTATCAGTGGTGTGCATCTGAAACCTCAGCTCTCCTACAGCACACAGGGAGCCAAGAGGACAGTGCAGCAGCAAGACCAATAAGAAAGGCCACACCTCTCCAAGGCCAGAGGCAAGGGCCAGCTCACCAAAACTGTCTTCTGAACACCACAGCAGGCCATGGCAACACATGTATACAGACAGACACACATACACATACACTAATTTAAATACCAATAGGAAAAAGGAATAAATGATAATTTAGATGACTGCATTCCTTTCTCAGAAGTTTTAAGCCTATTGCTCTACAATGGAAACATCTGGAAATACCCCAGTGTTCCATTTTAACAACACTTTCCATTGGTTTATTTATGGTGCTGTACTCTGAACCCAGGACTGGCTGGGCAGTCCCTCTAGCACCACCTGCCTCCACATCAATTCAAATATAATTTTGAAATGTTCTGTTTCTCCTATAAACATTTTATATTAACTGTGGTAATGTGGATACAACAGAATCATGTAGATATTAATATTACATAGGAAGGTCATTGCCGTTACGCTAACATACACTAAAGATAAATGATGCACTTCTTTACATATTAAAGGGGAAATGACATATAAATGAATAACAGGTCTTAGAATGCAACTCACAAGCACAGCACCAACCTAATATATACAAAGCCATGAGTTCAATCCCCAGAACCATCAAAAAAAGAGTGCGGTGTGCATACATCATACACTTCAGTATCATCTAGAGTTCATCCACACTCAAGTTCCCACATTGCCAACTAACAAAATATTATATTCATAGTCACGTGCTCCTAGGACTCATCTCATTAAATCCCTGAAATTTATAATGAAGACAACAAATCAATAAATCTATCTTCAGAAGAACAACAGGTTAAGGAACTTACTCTGGACTGTGGGGAGTGGTAGTGAGTGGTGGGGCAATGTCACCTCTGGCCCATCTGCCTCCACAGCCCACTGCACTGAACTCACTACGTCAAGTGGGGGTTCCCTAGCTGTGATACAAACATTTTATTTTGTCATATTTTGCCAGTTATTTTAGGACTGTATATGAGGGTTATATAAGTAAACTTTTGGGGCCACCCTACCAAATACTTGTACATAATTATATGTACAAGTAATCTTCTCAAATATTTTGACCTGTTTGTTTATTTATTCCTTAGAGAGAAGCTCTCCCAATGTCCCAGGCTAGCAATATTCAACTAGCAATATGCCTGCCTTAGGTCTCCCACATGCTACAATAGGCACCCACCACCACATTCAGTGATTTTGGCAGTGTTAAGAAAACAACAAAAAGAAAAGGTCCAAATACTCTGCAAACTGTTGTTAAAAAATAGGATTTGGAGGCTGGAGAGAAAGGTCAGCAGTTGAGAGTCCACACTGGCATTTCAGAGGACCAGAGTCTGGTTCCAGCAGCTGCCTCAGGTGACTCACAGCTCCCTGCAACTCCAGCTCCATGTGGACCTGACTCCCCTGGCCTCCTAAGGTACCCACATGCATGCACATACATGCATAACTAAAAATAGTAACACAAAATATTAAAAGAATAATGTCAGTCAAATACTTCTTGCTGACATGTTCGTCTTTATAAACATTTCATTGCTAAACCTTTAAGAAGACATGTTTTTTAATATTTATCTTTATTATTTTTAATCATGTGCATGGGGTGGGATGGGCAGTTTAGTACAGTGCCTACAGAGGCTGAAAAGGGCATTGGATTCCCTGGAGCTGGCGCTGACCAACACAGATGCTGGGAACAGAGCTCAGGACCTCTTCAAGAGCAAACCACACTCTTAACCTCAAGCTGAGCTACCTCTCCAACCCCAGTGGTCTCTATATTCTTAATTGTTTTATATGTATGTGTGTGTATCTATGTGAGTACATGCTATATATGTGCAGACGTGCACAGAAGCCAGAAGAGGGGTCAGAGCCCCTGGAGAAGGCATTAGGAGTGGTTGTGAATGACCTGACATGGGTGTTCTGGAAGAACAGGAAGCAGGGAGCTCTCTCTTGCACGAGCAGTCATTATTTTACAAACCCTAATCAAATAGCAGATGCAGGCAGTGGTAAGAGTGCATGCTGAATCATGAAACAGCAGGTGGAAGGGCTATTCTGACAAGCAGACACCGCAGCACAGCGACCATAAGTGATGCCCAGGTGCTGCCTCTGAAACCCTGCATGCTAGAAAGTAACTGCAGGCAAGCTGCAAGTACCCATAAAAAGGATACACCCTTATGCCAAGACCTACACATACTGTCGCCTAATCCACCACGTGACACATCTTACACATCACACAGACCCTTCAATAAACACAACAGAACAATGGGCTGTTTGTTGTTTTTAAAGTATTATAATGGCTGGGTGGTGGTGACACACACCTTTAATCCAACCAAGTACTTGGGAGGCAGACGTAGGAGGATCATTGTGTTCAAGGCCAGCCTGGTCAACCAAGCAAGTTCCAGGGCAGCCAGGACTACAGAGAGAAATCCTGTCTCAAAAAAACAAGCAAACAACAAAAAATAATAGTACTGTTATTATGAGATACAAACAACACATAAAACTTATTTGAACGCTGATACTAATAAGCCAAGTATTAAGAAGGTATTTCTTCAACAGTCAGAAAACAAGAAATGAAATTAAGAACCACTATTAACATTGCTGGGCACAGAAATGAACTTGTGGCAGCATAAGAAGTTTGCATAGTAATCAAGCTCTAGAACTGATAGATCAATTGCAATGGCAGATACAATCTATGGACGGGATGAATAACAATAGCAGAGTGCTGGCCGCTGCTGAGATGGGGAGTGCGTGGAACTACGCTACTTCTCTAGGAAGCTGCAAACCCCTTAAGATTATGTGGAACAATATGTGTAACTTGTTTATTTCTCATCTAAATAAATCTATGTAAAATTGTGACTCTACGACAACCCAAGAACATGGGGCTATTTTCTGAAAGCATTACCCTGTTAATATCTGTGAGCAGTGACACTATTCTTCCTTCCTTATTTAACAAAGGTATATGCTAAAGTAGTCTGTCAATTTACTGGGAGAAATAATCATACCATAGAAAATACCTATGATTTACTCAACAGTCTACAATAAAACACGCAAACAGCACCGTGGCAGTAGCATAAACAACAAGACAAAGATGACATATGGGAACATGGGGTACCATATATTATGAGCCTTGCTGTGTGAGTTTTAAAAACCCACCAACAAAACTGTACTAAATATAACCCCTAACACAGAGTGCTTCATTTCTGAGGTTAGAGGACCTATCTATAAATTAATGGAAACACACACACACACACACACACACCATATATATTTCATATAGTCATACATCCACACATATCTCAAGAGAAGAAAAGATAAAGAACAATATGATTGGGCAAAATAGAAATGTATGATTTTAAGACATGTCAGGTAATCTAGAGAAGGAGACAAAGAGTCTTTAGCAGATTAGTAAATTGGGTGAGGACTACAGTAGGCACTCAACAAAGGTCTCAGTGAATGCTACTCTGGACATGGCCGATTTCAAGAAGCATTGAAAGTCGTCGGCATGTCTAAAAAAACCATCCTTAGTAAAATGGAAGTTTCCCGCTCAAAGGTTAAGCTTTTAATGAAGAACATCTTCACCACTGTAAGAATCACTATTTAGGAACTAGAGACTCAACTGCTCAGGTAAGTATCCAAGCGGCGGTGCGCAGAGTGACTAAGGACGTCCTCTACTCACACCTAAAAGTTCACTCACCTCATAAGACCTGAGTTCTTCTTGCTGAATGGTCCAATGATCTTAAACATCAGCTCCACAACCCCATTTTTACCTAAAAATACTGCGTTCACAGCTGAGAAACAAGAGAAAGATACAAAGTGGCATGAGCCTTAATGATAAATCCAAAAACATTCCAAAGTATTTAGTCAATATGAATGCAAGCTATCCAATACACTCTGAAGGTCTGCTGTAGGGCTTTGGCGGGGAGGGGTGCTATTTTGCTTTATTTTAGGGGAAGCTGGAAGTAGCTAGCATTCCTGAAAGAGTCATTATGAGATTTGACACCAGGAAATTGAGTGTGGGGACTAAGAGCCAAGCACTGACGTGCTCTAAGGAAACTGAGCACAGCAAGAACAGCAGACACTACAAGTCATGGTCACACTGTCGTCCGATGCAGGAAGCTCTTTATTCCACTGAGCATCCCCACTTCAGAGTGAGACAGAGGGACTTCTGGGGAAAATGATGGGAACACAAGTTAGATCTGCAAGGAGCAAGGTGGAGTTGAGAAGATAGAAGGTTCTGGAACAGCAGATAGGTACAACATGGACAATGTCAGAATGAGAATCACGGGAATGAACTTACACACATTACACCATACCTGCAAACGAGAAGGTGAGAAAAGACAGGTAAGAGCCTTCTGAGTTAAGCCCTCCACTACAGGAACTGCCCAAGCAGCAACAAATTAGATAGACCTTTCAACAGCAGGGCAGAGCTCAGAGCACCCTGAGAGTCCAGCAAGGGAAATGCACCCAGGATCTTCACTAAAGCAACCTCTGAGCATACAAAAATGACAGTTTGCGTATTCTACAGAGAACCCACTCTGTGGCTTTGGAGGCTGTCCTGGAACTAGCTCTTGTAGACCAGGCTGGTCTGGAACTCACAGAGATCTGCTTGCCTCTGCCTCCCGAGTGCTGGGACTAAAGGCGTGAGCCACCAACGCCCGGCGGTTGGTTGGTTTTTCAACACAGGGTTTGGTTTCTCTGTAGGCCTCCCTGGCTGTCCTGGAACTCATTCTATAGACCAAGCTGGCCTCGAACTCAAAAGATTCACCTGCCTCCGACTCCCAAATGCTGGGACCTAAATCATGTGTTTCTTTTTTTTCTATCCTAACTCTTCCCTCAATTTTACTGTTTATGTCTGTTCTTAACTTTTTTATTAAATATCAAATTCTTTCACTATGTTCTTCTTAGTCATATAAATGTTCATTGTTTTTCTGAGCATACCTTCAACTAAATTGTTAGCATGGACATGCATACATGTATACACACATACCTTATACTGCATCAATATTTTTTCATGACATACAAATGGTCTGTAATTTATTTCTAATTTGTATGTGTATGTGCATGTGTGTACATTTGGAGGCCAGAAGTCAACATCAAGTGTCTTTTTTCTATTGCTCTACATTTTTTGAGATGGGTCTCTCATAGTATCTGGAGTTCAATGACTCATTAAAACAGGCAGCCATGACAGGCGTTGGTGGCGCACGCCTTTAATCCCAGCACTTGGGAGGCAGAGGCAGGCAGATCTCTGTGAGTTCGAGACCAGCCTGGTCTACAAGAGCTAGTTCCAGGACAGCCTCCAAAGCCACAGAGAAACCCTATCTCGAAGAAAAAAAAAAAAAAAAACAGGCAGCCACACACAACAAGCACTTTACTAACTGAGCCCATCTTCCTATGGCTCGTGCATGAACTGAGATTCATAGGAAGAAAACATATAGGAAATGCTCACCTCACAGGTTTGAGACCTAATATATCAAAGTGAGCACACGGGGGTGGAAACTGGAAACCATCTCTACAACCACTCGTCTCTCCCTGTCAAGGGATGCTAAGTCAATGCTGCGGGTGAGACCATGTGCCTTCTTTCTCCTATTTCATCTGCCAACACCCACAGTGCCTCACCTTTGTTTTCTGTCATTGTGACCAAAATACCCTGACAAAAGCAACTTATGGGGAAAAGGTTTTGTTTAGCTCCTGCATCGGTCACAGCAGGGAGTCCAGGCAGCAAGAGCCTGAAGTCGCTGGTCACATAACCAACTGTAGTCAGGAATAGAGAGCAATGGGTGCTCAATGAGTGCTTGCATCACCTCACTCCCTCTACTCCTACAGTTCACAGCCCTCTGCCCAGAGAACAGGGCCACTCACTCACGGGGGAGGCAGGGTCTCCCACCTCAGGACCACAGGCACCTGAGCTAGACCCTCTCCTTCTTACTCCAAGTCACTCTTGTTGACTTCTGAGTCATACTGATGTTTACATCCCACAATTTTAGAGATTTATAGACTTTATATGGTTTTTAAACTTCATTTTGTGTCACTTCCCACCCCTGAGTGGGTAGGTCACAGCCACCCTAAAGTACTCACAGTTGGTAGAATACACTCGCAAGAGCTGAAGACAAGGCAGAACCAAGCGATAGTTCTGAAAGTTCTGCTTGATCAAATTCAGAGTTACGTTCAGTGCCCCATTAACTCTAGCTTTCACTCCAAACTTTTTATCTGTTTAAAAACAAATTCATTCACATTAAACTTCTGAAGGTAAGCTGAAAAGCAGTGAAGACTAAGGATATAGCTCATTGGTAGAGGGCTTGCCTAGAATTGCTAGACCCTGGGTGCAACCAATAGAACTGCCAAACCAGCAGTGACATATTAAATCTGTACTATACATTCATATCAGATGTCAAGTTCACATGAAATAATCAAAATGTTAATCGTTTCTGTATAATTTCTAATGTTGCTTACCCTTCTGAAGCACATCCTACAACAACAAGGCAGGAGAATAAGACAGGGGCGAGGTTAGAGTAGCTCAGCATATGTGGTCCCATGCAAGGAGAACATAACTGATCTACTAGCCAGTAAGTCCAATTCAATGCACCTCTCTCAAATGTAGGTAAGAAGAGGAGTAAACAATCTAAATATCCATTACCAGTATTATTTAATATGAACATTATTTTCACACCTATAAAATATGCAAATTAATATAAATATGAATTATCTTAAAATAGAAAATATTGTGGCAAATATATCAAACAAATTTCTAAGCAGGAAGGTGGAGAGATGGCTTAACAGTTACAAGAGCTTACTACTCTTCCAGGGGACCCAAGTTTAGCTCCCAGGACCCAAACACATGTAAGTCCAGTTCCAGGGACAACTCTGGCCTCCTTGGGCATCTGTGTTCATGTGCGTGCACACACACACACACACACACACACACACACACACACACACACACGAACACACATGAGGAAACAGAAGAGCTATTGTGATAACTCAGTACATGATATGACATGTAACCACCAAGTCAAGGCAGTTAACATTTCCATCTCCTCAAATATTTTATTTTTAATTTCTGATTAAAATAATAATTATACATATTTAGAGAATATGGAGTGATATCTTAGTACACATATATTTAATATATGCAGTTCAGGGTAATGGATATTTCTACCTGTTAGCATTACTGTATCTATAGAGAACTGAAGTTCTTGATTTTTATTCTCACAAAGAGATCACGACAATAAAAAAAAAAAAAAGAGTAACAAGATCTGAAGAACATTAAAAAATAGAACAAGCAGAAGTAAGTCAAATTTTAAGGCAGAAATAATTAAATATTCCTAATGGAAAGTAACTTTTATTTCACAAGAAAAAACAGAAAACCACTCAAGAAATTATTGTGCAACCTAAATGAATGACATAAGAACAGGAAAGTTGTACTAATGGGAAAAGCACAAACTTAAGATGCAGAATAAAATAAAGATGATCTATGAATTAAAATGGAAGAAACAGACACATTGATATCTCAATTTAATTTCATGAAAAGTACAAGATAACTTGGTTGTAATTCGCAGAGGAAGAATGTACTATCTTATTTACCAATACGTAAAACTTTATTTCCTCTTCTATAAAAGTATCAAAAAAGGAATTTATGAATCTCAAGTACAGACGTTAAAGAAGAGTAATGGCCAAGACAGACAGGTACTACACTTAGTCTTAAGGCCACCACACCATTCTTTAAAACATCATCTGCTATTGACACAAGCTAAACACCTGCACACTGCAGTAAGACAGACATGCCTACACATACGCACAGGATCTTCACATCAAAACTCCCAAGTTCAGACAACACATGGACACCTACCTCTACACTGAGTTTAGGCTCCACTCCAAGACTATGACATGTTCTGTTCCCATAAATAAGCAGCCTCTCCTTGTCCTGGGCCTGCCCCTCCTTATTCACTGCACTGTCCGTATGTCACACGTCTCTCCACAGTTCTGACCCTCATCATTTTTCCTGTCTGCTTTGGTCTTGGTAAATAGGAAATTTCCAGAGCACTGAACTGCACACAGTACAAATATGACTATCAGAGCAAACGCTGTCACGGAACACACTCACCCACAAACACTTCCACACTCTGCACCAAAGCTCTCCTTCTAACTTCACCAGAACACACATCATGTTCATTTTCTATGTGTATATGTGAGTGTACACACACATACATGTGCACACACACACATGCGGGTACAAACAAGCACTAACACACTGTGACACTGGCATTCTTCCTCTTTTATACCACATTCAAAACAACTCTTTATGAATCTTGTGACCCTCAGTTCTTGCTGGCTAACTGCAAAAACACTCCACTGTTAAACCCAAGAAAAAGTAGTGCTTTACATTTCAAAAATGTAAGCAGCTTAAGATTAAAGATTCTCCAGGGCAGCACTCAAGAGGCAGAGGAAGGTGGATTTCTGTAAGTTCAAGGCTAGCCTGGTCTACAAAGCAAGTACTAGGACAGCCAGATTACACAGAGAAACCCCATATCAAAAAATAAATAAATAAATATTAAAAGTTACAAAGGTGGTTCTGGATTTAATAACCATAAAAATGGAACTCTTACCTTTTGGTCCAATCTTCGCAAGAATGGAATGAGTCTGCACCATTAATTCCTCATGTGGGGGGGATTCCTTGCTGGCATTCATAAGCAGTTGTAACAATATTTGTGGACCACCTTTGGCAACTAAGAAACTTGCTCCTCCACCACCACCTAA